ATTTCTTCCTAATGTATCTTTGTTTTCCAGGCTTAAAGCATGTTTTTGTATGTTGTAACCATGTCTGCATAGTTTCTCCAAAGTCATCTCTGTAGTTGTCTACACCAAATTATTAAAAGCTTTCTCCAAATTAAGAAAAATTGTAGCTGCTTTTTGTTTTTTTCTGGTTTAAATTATCAATGGCATTTAAAATATATCTGATAACATTTCTCATGTATCTCTTTGGTACAAATCCAGTCTGATCAGAGTAAATTATACCGGCTGCAAATGTGATAATCACCATTTATCTCTTGATAAATGAAATCTTGAAGTCATTATTTAACAATGTTGAAGAGTACTAAACCTGAATCTTGTGGTACCCCACTCAATATCTCACCCCAGATTGAGGAGGTACCATTGAAAAGCATTCTTTGAATTATGTATCTACTTAACTGTCATGTCATCCAGCCCACATGGACAATGGTGCTTAAAAGTTTGTGATCCCTTTTGAATTTTCAATATTTCTGCATGAATTTGACCTAAAATATGTTGTTCTCCACACAAGTCCTAAACTAAAGTTGAAGGAACTGGATGAGCTTTGTCTGTTACCAGAACCTGTCACAAGACTGAAGCCAGTCTTAAGGCTGGAAGAAGCCGTTAACTGCTGTGGACCGGGAGGGAGAGAACTCCCAGATTGTGGCGGGAGACAAAAATAATAACTGACTAAATAAGTCATGTATTATGCTTTCAAACAGGAGAGTGAGTTATTGGGGAAAATATTTTATTACAGTAGAATTAAGTAGCTCTTTAATTTAAATTTGATCTTGCTGTCAGAAAGTCCCTCAATTATGGCTCTATTCCTAAGGTTGTATCTTGGTATATAATAAACAGTGATCACTTAAACCAACTAATATAAACCATTTTTGCCTTTGAATTTTAAAATAGACAATGTTTTGTCAATGCAAATATTATATAATTATTGACAAAACATCTTAAGTAGGTTGCAGTCTCATCCTGCATTTGCAACCAAGTTACTCAAAAGCAATGCAAACAAGCCTCAGCTTCTCCTTGGCATCTCTCCTCTAAGTCTTTCCCATAATCTTTCTTCAGCCTGGAGGCCTTATGTGTAAGATCTCTGCCCTACCTCTCTTATTAATTTCACACTTGTGGGTGTACCACCCCTAAATAGCTTTGCTTCAAAAATGAAAAGAGCTATTATCTCCAGAGAATAAACAAAAGAACTGCCCAGTTGCTCCTTTAATGGCTAAATATATAATTGTTTCCCCCTTCTCTCTGTTATATATTGATTAAACAGGGAGAGAGGGGGAAAAACAATAACAAGGGTGGTGGTGGTAAGGAGAGAGATTCCTAACGGAAGATATTGGAAGACTAAGGCTGTCTTTTAAAGAAGGCTAGACTTGTTCTTCTACAGTAGAGCACGTGTGATAAAATATTTATCACAACCGGGTTCTTGGGCTATCCCAAGTTCAAGGAACTTTAATGTTTCATAAACCCTTTCACTAAAAAAGGGTGGCATTGTTATAATAGATGGCTAGGGGAATAAGAGAGAATAACTGAAAAAAATAGTAGAAAGCACCAAATTAGAAAAAGACTCTACTGCTATTATACCAGTCAAGGATTAACTTTTGAAGTCATTTTGAAAAGAGAACTCCGTTTTAGAACATGTGCAACGATAATTTATGTGCTTCCAAATACGTTTAGTATGCATTTCTTTATGTAGCTCCCACCCAAATCTTATATTTGGCATCAGGATTGGCAGGACAGACCTGATCTCTAGCACCTTTTGTTTAAATAAGCACATTTCTTTTTGTAAAAACAACCGTGAAATAGGACTGACTCAAAAATATTCACTTGCTGAAGGCTAGCACTGGATGTCTGGGTCCAAGTAAGGATTTAAACTTGGATCTTCCCTTCTCAAGTGTTCAGAACCAAACTTTATCTTTGCTCTAACCAGAGTGATTACCAATTTCTTCTGAGCATATTTTGCACGATGTATTAATAGTTTATCTTTGGGCAGAAAGAAGATAAGGTTAGTAAAAAGCAAGTTTACATTTCCCAAAATTAATACCAAAGTCACATAACACAGAGAAGCTAGTGGGAACTTTTGGTAGTAGAAAACCAGAAAATATGACAGCAAGAGAACTCTGGGAGTGCTACCAGCTGGAAAACTATTATCTGAAGAATCTAAAAACCTGCTGAAAGTAGAAAAGAAAGCAGAGTTGAAACTTGGACACATTTATGTCAGCACTTTGTCAAGTATGACTAATTCGTTACTATCTTAAGAATTTGGATCAGATCAGGAATACATAGTCAAAAGTAGCATGCCAGTTAATTTAGAGATTGAAAAGCACAAAAATAAACGTTTTCTCATGGAGCTTTTACACAGCTCTGTCTAATGTGCCAGTTGTAACCTTTTCTGGAATGGGAGGCTTTGCTCAGTCACTCATGTTTAGCCAATTGGACTACTACAGTCACACCGACTACTGCAGTGTGCTCTACACAGGGCTGCCCTTGAGAAGCATTTGGAAGCTATGTCCAGTCCAAAATGCAGCAGCCTTCTCATTGCCCCCATATAACACAGCTACTTTAGGAGCAGAATTGGTTACTGGTTCACTTCCAAGTGCAATTCATGCATGGATCAAGGTTTGGATATATGCAGGACCAGCTTCTCCTAATAACATCTGCTGGCTTGATAAGGTCAAACAGGGCAGGTTCTCTCCACATTCCCCCACTCAGGGTATGCCATCTACAGGGGCCATGGAAGCATGTCTTTTTTATTCCAGCCCTCTTTTGGAGCAGTGTCCCCCCCGAACACAAACATTTGAATGGCCCTTCCCTGGTGGCATTTAGAAAATCTATAAAGATGTAGCTGTTCACACAAGTCCTAGGAGATTAAAAAAGATGCTTGTCCCTCTACTAACAAAAATTTGGGGGGGGGCAGGGGGGAGGGATTGCAACTACTCCCAAGGTCTTATACTGTGATTTTATGGTTTTGACTTTTCAATTGTATTTTGTTTTGATCTGAATTACAGAGGGAGAATTGTATGTTGTTCAGAATCAATTGTGATTGGATCAACCTATAAACCCTGCAAACAAACACTCTTGTATGGATAAAACTTTCCTTGGATCTCTGACCAATGGCAGTTCATTTTCATGACCACTCTTTGCAGCCATAGGGCAACTGAGAGCTAAGGAGCCTTTTGTCATGAGGGGAGAACATGAGACAGCATGAGACTTGGTAATGTGGCTAGTGACTAAGACTAGATTGCGTTTCCCCTCACTTCAATACCCTCTTTTCTGAGTGGGATGTGAGGAATGTGGTTGCATGATTGTTGCAAGTACCCTTCAGCAGTGCATGTGACAAGTGATCAACAAGCATCACTTCCCATATCTGTATCAGTGTAACCCTGTAATTTCCCTTCTTTGAAGAGGAAGAATTTTTGAAAGCCTTGTGTATCTTCCACTTCAGTAATGGATTAAATGGATTATATCCATATCTGACAGTCAAAAGAAACAAAGGTCCTTCCCCGCCCTCCACTATAATACCACTCAATCTTTCTATTGTTAACTGAATATTCACCACCCTTCTTTCATGATCCTGAGCCAGAAACTCGTAGGGATGGGAATTAAGTTGATCTCAGACCAGTTCTTCAGACATACAAAATGAAGTTGTGAGGACATTTTATGTTTTCAGAGTTGTTACCAGGGAGGGAGGGGGGTTAAGAAAGAAAAGGGGGGGGGGAAGGACTATGAAATATGACTTTCTTCTCCATTCCCACTGCTTACTAGCAACTTTTATATAAAGAGTCCCTGTCTCTGAAACCCACTTCATTGATCTAATAAATGCAATAATAAAATGCATTACACTTTAAAGTGCCAGAAGACTCTTGACCTGTAAAGAAGTTCTGGATCAAACCAAAGGCCAATCTGTTCTCATGGACCTGAGACAAGATGTGAGTATTCAGCAGTTTTCAGTTTCTGTTCCCAGGGACTGGTACTGAGCAGCAATGGCATGACTGACTTTCAACACAATACTAATGTAATCAGATCCATGGAAGGGACTAACAGTCATGTAATTAAAAGCACTGTCCAAATGCATGTCCAAGAAAAAGTAGTGACATGTAGTGGCAGGTGTTGCAAGGAAGACAAATTGTATGCTACAAAAGATTTAAGATAAATACAAGAGGCACCAGCCACCTTTGTATCATAGCTAGATTGCATCTACTCATGTTTCATATTATTAATGTATGTAAAGTTCATGCCTGCTTTTGTGGTCCCTCACCAGGGGACCAACACTCCTCCTTTATCCAGTCTTGGAACCAGCCATAGTTGCCTGCAGGTGGACTTGCATCTCTCTTGCTGTTCAATATTGTGATCAATACAGTCATGTGGAAAATCTTTGCTGGTTACCATGAGGTCAAATTTAGACAAGACAAATTCATCACAGATCTAATGTTTGCTGAGGACAGCAGGTCTTTGGCAGACAGCGAAAGAGAAGACCATGACAACTTTGCTTCAGCATCATTTGGGGAAAAAAAAACCCTCAAAGTTTTCCAAATGTGTTGCCTACTCCAAATATTAGGAATTTCAATTTATGACAAAATACAAAATGAAATCATTAAAAAAAGATGTCACAATCAGTCTATGGCAGTGGATGCAATTCAGATGTGTTGAATGTAGTACTTCAGATACATCTGCCACATGGCCCCATGCCAACTTCCTTATCAATTGTCCTGGAAATCATGCTCGGTGGTTGTGATCAGCTCCAAAGAAAACTTGGCTGAAGCATATGGAAGAAAATCTAGCAAAACCTAGACTGAACCCAACAGAAGTGAAACAACTGGCCCACAACAAACAAAATTGTAGCCACCTAGTGTCTAGATACTGGTTCCGCTATTGGTCATTAGCAGATGTGAGCTATGTTCAATATATATAAGAGACTGAGGGCAATGTTAACATTTCTACTTCAAGGGTAACATCAATATACAAAGCACAGGGTGAAGGTTTAAAGTGCACACTTTTATTTTCTATTACAAAGGTTAAAAGAAACAAATTTGTTAAGAACGTTATTAGAACATCTACAGTATTATTTGATTACTGGACCTTGTGAAAGGTACTATTAATTACTCTTTAATAGTAAAGTGTGGTATTCTTAAAATATATTAGTACAGAGATATTTTGAAGGACTCTCGAGCTTATTACAAACCCAGCTTAGAAATAGAACATCTCCCTTCATTTGCTTTCCTCTCTCATTGCATTTCTAATGGACAGTCTGCTGGAAAGCTTGGTTAACCAGAATCCCATTCAAACTTACTCTTGCTTGATTTTCAGGGTATGGGAAAGGAGCCTACCAGCTTTTTTCTCTTTGGCATCTTATATGGTAATCACTCTTCTTTTATATAAAGAATAGGGCATTCCAAGATTTCAGAAGCACACTATGAATTAATACATACAATGACAAAATTTTATCACTCCCAAAAAGCTTTCTAAAAATCCTTCCCTTGCCAGCCTACCTATTAAACTATAGTCAACTATATCCTGTTGTTGTTGTTTTAATCCAGTTGTTCAGAGCACTGGACTTAAGTGCTGTAGGATACAGCAAGATGTAATATAGCGGAAACTGATGATCCTGTAACCTCTGTGATGATAAAGGAAAAGGAAACAAAAAGAGAGCCCCCTACCCGTGCCCAGTATCTCCCTCCTCAAAACAATAAACAGATTTTCTTTAATCATTAGCTGAACATTTATTTCTATGGATCAAACTTACAGGCTTGTACAAAATAGTAAGTTCATGACTGACTGGGATAATAATCCTTATACAATGCTTTATTTAATCCAGGAGAAATATTCCTCCCCTCCCAACATCTTCTTTCTTTCAATGAGAGATGCTATATTCCCTGGCTTGAGTCCTTTTCATTAACTCTCAATAAAAGATTCCTTCAATACCACACACATATATAATATTATATAGAGTGATATACTTAATAACTGTGTATATATGTCTTATGAAAGGAGTACATATATACACACTAGAACAAGTCTGGTAACAAAATACTGCAACACCACATACCAGGTTATCATATCAGGAAAAAAAATGAAAATTTCCACTGCAATGCTCAGAAATACGTGCACTCACCGTGCTCTAACATCATAATCCACAAGCCTTTTTGTCCCGCAGCACAGCTGTACTGACAAGGGTAGAAAAAGGCTACAACTAGTTTTAATTACTTTTTAAAAAGGAAATATTTTATTTAGCTCTATAATCTAAATAAATGCACATATCTTGTGTTGATACAGCATATGGTTATAATTATATTTCTAGATGCAGCAATTTAGAATTTTAAGCATCCATCTCTTATTTACCTCCATTTTTCTTAGAGAAATAGGACCAACAAATTGAAAACATAATAGTGTATTGTGTAATTTACTCAACACATCTATCCATGGGAAAAAGGGGTGTATCTGGCTCATTTAATTGCAACTGGGGTCCTGTGATTTCATTTAATCCGGAATCAATAATTAAGACTACAGTATTTAATTAGTAAGGCAGGAGACAAAGACCCACTCCTTTTATAAAAATCAACTTCTAGGATAATGGAAAGCATATAACAGAATCTGAAAAGTCTTCTTACAAATTCCATAACAATCAAACTGGGGGTGGGCTGGTTCAAACAATTTTCAACCCAAATATGTATGGGTTCCACAAAAGGATCACAATTAGAGAACATAACTACTTCTAAAAGGTTTTGAAATACAAAGATTCTCTATCTCATACGCACATTTCCCCAATCTGGCACCCTCTAGATATGATAGACAATTTCCTTCACTGCAGGCCAGCATAGTCAGTTACCATGTTCAGTGTTTACGATGGGGGTAGTAACAATCTAACACATCTGGAGGGCACTAGGTTGAATGGTGCTAAAATATTCTTCTTCAGAACTAAGCAAAAAGCATCCACACCTGTTTCTCAGAAAAACTGGTCTTTGGACCATTAAAATAAACCAAAATGCTTGCTTTTATACAGGGAACAGATGATCTTAGGCTAATTTTTGTGATGGGCAGAAATGGATAATTAAGTGTAAAAGTTACCAGGCAAGAGTGAGTCAGTAATCCATCTACCCTCAATTAATAATAGCAGGAAAAGATTGACATTTTATTCCCCCTACTAACTGCATTTCCCTTTATATTCATTATAAACTGATAATTTTTTCTTCTTCATATGAGCACGGATAGATCATCTTGACTGCTATTACTTCACTAGCAGAAAGGTATAACATTCTACAACATTCACTCTTCATTAAGGAAGAAAGGATTCGATATAAGCAAGCCTGCAGATTCTAGATAGATGATACCTTTATATGAAACCTTCACATTCAGATCACATCATGCTTTCATCCACCTTGCAAAAATATAAAAGCCAATTTTGTAGCACTATATATCCCTAAACATACTTGTACTTCCCTACCAGACCAGTAAAGATAACTGCACCACAAATGCTGAGGGTTTTTTGTTTACAGCAGCAAAATCCATACATTATGAATCATTTGTTTCTTCATAGCACATCAAGGGCTGTAACATTTTTTCTGCAGCCTGTTATAATAATTCTGTGAAATATTATCATCTTACTTTTTTTTGGACTTTACTGCTTAAGTAAGTACCACTGAGTTAGTGGGATTTAATTCCTACCAAAGATGCTTTAGATTATAGCTTCTTGAAATTTTTTTCAGAGGTACGTTAAATATTATTGGTTTAGAGGAGATTTTGTTGTTCTCTATTTAAGAAAAGGGATAGAAACTTAATTTTCTAGTCTTATCTTTAAATTCTGTTACTTTGGGATATGAAACATTTAATTGCAAGGAAACTCTAGCCTCTTTATTTGCAATTTAAATTAAACAGATGAATTTTTAAAATTTCTTTTGAAAAAAAATTTTTTTTTTGCTCGAGACCAAAATTATTAAGATACTTTTGTAATTAGTGCTAAATTATTAATGCCAAAGAAAGTTTACAAACCTGATTCTTTGGCATAATTAGATTTATAAAATCCACCTCTGGATAACAAATTAAATCCCTTCTTCTCATTTCCATTATTACTGTTTTTTCATAGCGACCAAAATTGTACCCACTACAGAGAATACTACAAGTATGGTGGAAATGTTTCTTTTTCAATAAACAAACAGATTCTCTGCAGAAACCCAAATATTAACATTTTTTTGTGCATGCAAATCCTCAGATATCTTAAAAGTTCTTTGTGAAGAAGCAAAAATTAACTGTTGTGATTGCTGACACACCATCAGAAATAAAAATTAGCTTTAACTCACGTACATTCGTATGAGGCCTAAATCAATCATCAGTTATCTATTTGCTTTTTAGGTAATCTTTAATATGAAAAAATAATTGCTTCCAAAGACAGCTAATGATGAATTTTCTAATGGCATGTGACAGGATTAAAATTCTTTGTCCTCTTTCATCTGTTATGGAATTCTGGGTATAAGGAGAAAGAGATATTCTTTACTATTATTTCTTTTACTGCTCTTAAGTAGTATTGAATAGCAGATACTTTTATTACTACTGGTTAAAAGCAACCACCAGAATAACCTGAATGTTTTAGAACCAGATTGAATTGGGGGAAGCTAATATCTTATTCACATTTAATCTTTTGTATTGTTAATTTCAACACTGTGGTTTGTGACCCAGCACACAAGCATCTACCCTGAACAAAAGCCTGCATCTTTGACACTTCTCCTCCTTCTGTGCTTGTTTCTGTAATACTACAATATCCCATCAAAAATTAAATGCTCAAAATAAGAATCTGGACGTTGGGAATTAAAAAGAGAAACATCTTCTCTTTTACGAGAGAAGAAGAGACAAAGCAGCTGGTAATGGACTGAAAAAATCTGGAAAACAAAATGATAGAAGCATTGTGTTCCCTGGCTGCAGATGATTCAATCCTTAATTCCATTCAACATCAGTGAATCATTTTGATTATCTTACAATCAAAGCCACGGTATTGAAACAATTATCAGTCTCTTTGTAACTGTCCCAACTTCATCTTACTCCAGTTCTGAAAAGTCTGCTTGTTTCCCCCACCACCCAGGAATTATATACTATCTCGTAATAGAAAGTTGTATTTGCCAAAGTCATCATCTCGAGGGCACAGCAGCATATCCTTGCGGGCTTTAGCCAGTTTCTGCTTCATTACTTCCCTGCGATCAAGCCATTCTGTCAACTCATCTTGACCATGAGCAAAGCGACATTTCTCTCCTTCAGGACAGCCTTTTGTCTTCTGGAATCTGTAAGAGGGCAGCACACAACTGTCAATTTTTTAACAGAAATGTCTCTTCTTTTAATTCTCTAGTATCTGTAGTCAGAAGGTTAATTTCAAATTACAGAAAAATCTTTCCCTAAAGCCCCAACAGCATGAAAGCGACAAATTTTTCAGCAAACAGTCCAGATCAGTTTTTAGCTCATGTGGAATCTGGATCAGTAGCAACAATGTTCACCTTTAAATGAACAACCTGAAAATACATATATCAGTTATGAGGACTACCTGAAGAGTGAATGGTAGAAGAAAGAAACTATTGAGCAAGATTTAGAGCTTCTGAAGTGATCATCACAGGAATAAACACTGTTTATTTCCTAAATAAAGTTCCTATATCAACCATAAGAATACAATGTACTAATTTGCTTAAAATACTCTAATTCTTTAATTAGAGGACATAAACATATTACACCTTAATGGATGTTTAAGCCCATCTTTGTAAAATGTACATCCAGCAAGAAAAATTCTACATTTAAATCAGTGTTTCTCAGCCGTGGCAACTTTAAGATGTATGGATTTCAATTCCCAGAATTCCCCAGCCAGCATGCTAGGAAGTTCTGGGAGTTGACGTTCATATATCTTAAAGTTGCCAAGGTTGAGAAACACTGATTTAAAGGCTGATCTGCTGCCAAGCAAAGATACCTGAATGTGAGCCATAAACTTAGCAGAGATGATTTTCTTTAAACTGTAGTTATGCGGGAATTTCACACGCACTCCCTACTCACCAGGAGTACATGACTTGGAAAAAGGAAAATGTTACGCGTTGTACCTTTCACACAACCGGAACTCTCCCATTGGGAAGCGGTAATTCCAGCAGCTGGAGTCGTTGTCAGATGTGAAGACTTTCTCCTTATGCTTCTCGGACTGGATGTGCTGCTGCCACTGCTTCTTACTGTTGCTGTTCTTTCCACAAAGCCAGCAGTGGTAACCCATCTGACCACCAGGGAACAAGAGAATACAGTTCTAGACCTTCACTAGATTGCACTGGCAACTGTGCTAAGAAAGGCCAGGAAGCCCTTTATTGTCTAATAAAACCTACTCTTCCATGGCTAAACCTATTGTTCTTCTGAGGATCCATGCTTCTTTTGTTAAATAGCATTAACTGAGAATCAGCTAAACATGTTCTACTGCTGAAGTAGTTAAGTTTCTTAGGGATGGAAAACCACTCAGGAGCCCAAGATAATGATCTTGCTAAAGGTGGCACATATTTTTCTGTTTCCACTTGATCATTTAATATGAATACTTGACGGAGCAAGTCCTGCTGGACTTATCACCACAGGTATGAATTACTAAAACTTTTCTAATTTCATGCTATTATTCATGTGTAGATTGGAATAGGGTAACATTTGGTTAGTTTTCTTCTTTAAAAAAAACGTATTAGTTTGATTTCTATCTAAATGTAACCAATAAATGTAGAATGACCTAACTCCGTATCTTACTGATTAACAAAACTTAAGTTACAACAATGTGTGTACCGACTGGCTTCTAAAACCTCTAGAGCTTTTTAGGAAAACATATGTAATTGATTAAATGGCCCTCAACCTTCTATTCCAGGGTAGGCAATCATTCTATATGTGACAATATATGATGGGGTTGGCTGAAGCTGGCAGCAGGACTGCTCCCGTTGTTCCCGATACTCTTCTCTCACACAGAAATCTTCTTGCCCAAGTTACTCATCATACCCATACAAACTCTTCCAAACCCCTCTGCTCATAGGGAGACAGGTCTAAACTTTTCTCCCTGTGTAACGAGATCATAGCATCCCTATCTCCAACAGAGCACACGGAGAAGAACCATGATTTAAAGCAGGAGTATAAAACGAAGGGAAGATTTTTTCTACATACTGCCTTCCCAAGTTGATAAGCTGACAACCACTTCATCAGCTCATCAAGCAGCTGTGTTTGGGCTTCAGAGATGGCGAGAATAGCTCTTGGGGATGACTCTTTTCATGTGCCATCTTCTTTAGCAACATTTGGCAAAACTGGCAAAATCCAGCAGCAGCTGGTCATGTATAATGTTGCACTGAAGATCTCCATGAGATGCAAGTTGCTGACATGTGTTTCATTTTGTAGCATACTACCTTAAAAAAAATATGTGTGCAAAATAAACAAGAATCGCAATAGTATCTAGAATTTGATATTACCATGTCAGCATAGTCAGTGGGCATCTGGATCTGCTTCTCTCCTTCCCGTGATGTTAGAGGTGTTCCCTCTCCAGGTTTTCCAGGGTTGTGCTTTTTCAGCCACATGTCATAAGTCTGCTGCATATCCAAAACTGCAAGAATATACCAGCTGGATTAGTGAGAGTTACTTCTGCATCCTACCAATACAATGTCTCTAAACAGGAATGTTTGCTTAGCAACATTAAAAGCTTTTTATTACCAAGTCAGAATATTATTCAGTCTCACTCAGCACTCTTCAGATGCCGGACAAAAGTCTTCCTCAGCCCTGCTTCAGGATTCAAGGGACTGAACCTAGGATCTTTTCCATGCAAAGCACATGTGCTGTCATTCAGCTACAGCATCTAAAGACTGACAGAGTAGATGCCACTCTAACATCTTCTATCAGATGAAGTAGAAGGAATGCAAGTCCTTCTGAACAACTTATTATCTCGCAGGCATGGAGAGGATGTGGCTTTGAAACAGTTGCACAACTCAGCCCAGACTCTGCCTCATCCAGACCCCTTTTCAGGTCCTGGGCCTGGCCTAAGCTCTCACATCCTGGGGCATTTTCAAAGGCAGCCACTACTGAGAAAGCCAGAGCTAATCTTCCTCTTCATGACACTGCCAACTTCCTTGAGAAATCCCTTCTCCGCTGTAATGAAGCTAAAGTACCTTTCATTAATATCAGTGGAAGCTACTGTAAAACTTCACTGCAACACATGGACATTTTCAAGGGGGTATTATTCTGGTGATAATCATGGATTCAGGAAACAAGGGTTGAAATACTCATTTCAAGACATAAATCCCCAGCTTGAGATGATTAATGACTTACATTAGTGTTCATGTAACGTTAAGTCTTAGTTAATCTTTGTCTGCTTGCACACTATGTTTTAGAGGAAGCCAAAGTTAATATTGGCACTGAGCACTGGCACTGAACATTTATTATTTTCAATGAGTCCTTGGAAATGGGGATGGGGGAGCAACCAGAAGGTTAAAAAAAATCTGTAGCTCCCAATATATGTATAAATACATATTTACATATTCTACTCACTCTTGTTTTCTTTCATGAAGGTCCACATCTCTCTCTCTTCAGGGCTATGGGCAAAAGAGCAATTTCCAACATATTGGCATTTCCTACCATTTTGGGCATGAATACATAGCTGTGAAGAGACAGCAAAAGATATGGTCTTCAGAAATACTGTCTTTCTCATGAGAATGAAGCCAGCAGAGATCAAACAAGGAAAAGAGATGCCAAGTATTATGGATACATTACGCATCCACTAGTGATTCTATGGGGGCAACCTACTGTCCATATACAGCTCCTTGGAGGAGTGCAACCTACCACAGGTTTCTAAGCTGCTGCTACTCTGTTATGGAGTTCTGCCACTTTGGGCATGATTGTACTGGAGAACACAATGAATAGCATAAGCATTCCATTTTCCATTAGAATTACTCTACATCCAGCTCTCCAACTGCTTGCTTATAGAGCAGGCAGGAGTGAGATTTAATCATCTCAGCATCTCTTCCCTTCCCCACCTACAGTGGGGCAAAAAAGTATTTAGTCAGCCACCAATTGTGCAAGTTCTCCCACTTAAAAAGATGAGAGAGGCCTGTAATTTTAGTCATGAGCAATACACCCATCTTTGCATTTGTTTAATGCTCTT